AGAGAGAGAGAGAGAGAGAGAGAGAGAGAGAGAGAGAGAGTGGTCAGTCGATCATAATTATCGCTTCTTGAATAATTGATGATTTCCTACATAATATTTTTATCGCTAAAATGTGAGCCCACGTCGCGTGCGCCTTGCGTGCGAGCCGTTGCGTAATAACGGTGCATTCACCGTATAGTTATATTTAGTGCAATGACTATTGCATAAGGCCAATTGACGCAGTGTCCCAGTAATATTTACGAGTTCCGCGTACAAAACAATAAAAAGGAAGGAAAATCCTTTTTTCTACTTTTCTTATCTCTATCTGCTTCCTTTCATTTTATGATTCGAAATCGTGGAATAAATTCTTTTTTTTTCTACACTTAAGGAAAACGACTTGGCAACTAAATTTACTATATGTGCGGAACTAATATATTTAGTTTGATAAACTCTTTATTTTGTAATTATATTGGAACTAAAATCTTAGTTGCAATAACTACGAAATAGTTTATTAAACTATATACACATTACAATTATACATATGAAACTCGTACAGTTGTCATCCATATAGTTGCCATCAACATTTTCCCCCTTCCACCCCTATTCATATTTTTCCCCTGTATGTTTCGCCGTAAATGTGTTATATGAAGTTACCTTCTTTTACATTGTTCATGTATCTTCTTTTTACAGAATAGCGGTCTCTGTAAATGTGTTTCCAAATTGAATTGCTCTGCAGATTTATTAGTTACCGAATTAATTAAATTGATATTTAAGTTCTCCTGCAATTTACGAATACGCGGGCCGAGGGGCGATTACCTGGATACATGTAAATAACGCGACCATAATTCACTTTTCACATGCATTACAGAGTACCGATACAATCTTATCTGCAATGCAATTTCCATATTGTTGTATATCGCGATAGTCTTTTATTAGCACATGAGTATCTAAATGTTACGGTAAAACGCGTGTCGCCATCGACAGACACGTCGCACACGAAATTTGTAACGAGTAATCGGGCAATCCTGGGGCAGATTTCTCCCCGTCTTTCGTTGGGAAAGACTGCCCGATTGCGCGTTTCTTCGAATGCTCGACTCGCGAAACGAAGCGAGTCGTCGCGCGAAATAGTCGCAGCGCGTCGTTTGATTTCGGGCGCACGGCATGCAGATTTTATCGACGTGTCATTACCGAGATTGAAATTTATGCGGTGTAGGTGCTTTTTTCGTGGTGAGAGCACCGCGCGGCGCGCTGTCGATTAAGAGATTTTCTTGGGAAAAAGTGGAACACGGCTTCGCAGTGTGTAAGTTCGGTCTTTATGCCATTCAGTCGTGAACTTCGAGGCTTTTATAACTTCGGTCGAACGAAGACAGCCCCCTTCCCCGGTTCACGACGTGCCGGATAAAACGAAGGAGAGCGTTACACGCGTTGGACGCCGTGATTTTCCAAGAGAAAAAACTTCCGCGCGAAACTGGGATAAACCGGGAGAGAAGCGTGATTGCGAAAAATCAATAGCGCGATCGGCGAATTAAAATGAAGAAACGACAAACCCTCCGTTAAAAAGAGAGAAGGGGGGAAGAGTAAGAGAGAGCAAGGAGGAAGAAGAAGGAAGAGAGAGATAGCGAGAGAAAAAGTGGTGAAAGGGGGAGAGAGATTACAGGGGAAGGAGAGAGAGAGGCGAAGAGAGAACGAGAAGGGGAGAGGCAGAAATACGAAAAGAGACGTGGAGAAAGAGAGAGTGAGGATGAGAGAGAGAAAAAGGGGAGGAGAGGGAGAGGAAGAGAGGGAGATGTAACATTCGGGTGAAGTAATTATTGCGCCTGTTTGAGTTTCGCATGTGCGATCGTCACTCTTCTCTCTTTGTTCTAAAAGTCAGCAATAAAAGAAAAGAATAAAATAAAAAGGAAAACATTAACGCTGCTGGCCGCAGCTCGTTAACATAAATTATAACGCCATTTATCGAGGTCAAACTAACTTCGTGTCGTGGAATTTCCGTTGCCCCGTGTACATTCAGCGGTAATACATTTATGGTTTAAAAACAAAATTTATACATATTTATGAGTCACAAAACCGCTATCAGCCATTTATCGCGTCCGGAAAGGATGCCGGAGAGTTCCCCCCTTATTAAATATGCAATGTATTACAAATAGAACGTCCGATCTTACTCTCGGCGTGAGAGGGAGACGCCGGAGGAGAGCGTGCTCGCGCGCATCGTCACTTCCAGCAGCCTGGAACGGAAGCCTCTTAATCGCCGGCTCGCTACTCAATTGATTCTTCCTCCATGCCGCTCGATACACCCAGGTCGCAATGCAGCGCGCTCGAGAGATAGTCGGCGCCACCCACGCATATTGCTTTGTCTCTCGCGGTGAGATAATAATTCGAATTCGGGACTGGACTTTGCCGCGGTCCGCCGCCGCACAGTGGGAACAAATTAAAATTTATCTTGCAGGAGCCTGACAGGAATGAAAATTGGATGAAATCTGGGAAGTTGCGAAAAATTGTAAATTAATAGGAGTATGGATTTTTGTCTATCAAGTACATGCAACAATATTTTGATAAGGTAAACAGCACCTGATAATTATATTATATAAAACACGAAAATTGAGAATGCTCAACCGGGCTTTAATATTGTCAAATAAAAAGTTTCAGGCGTATTTGTGATTCTTTTTTCTCCAGTTTCTTTTTTCTCCAATCTGCGAAAATAACTTCACGGATATGTTCTATCCCGAGCACATATACACACATACACACTAGCGAGCGTTAAAGATAGATTACTAGCTTTTGGCAATTTAACATAAGGAAGACTGGAGAGCAAACAAACACACTTCATGTGAGAGGAAGATATTTCGAATCTCGAAGAGTCGGAGTCTCGAATCCAACGCATTCATCGTGATTCGTTCGTCGAATCAGGTGATATCGGCGATGAGAGCGCGATCTCGAGATTTCGGGGCGTCCGGAGACAGAATTT